CCTCACAAGGCAATACGCGGAAACCACGTACACCTGGGGGCTGAATTTGAAATCTCTGAGTTCTATTTGGACAGGGAGCACAACCTCAAAATTTCAGCTTTCCAGCTTTTCTGGTTCCTGAGTTAGCAATTTTCCCGCCAAAAATTTCACCCTTTCGTACGCGGGGCCTAGACTTGCGTGAGAGTTGGTACCGTGGTCCTGGGGTGGCAATGGGCCGAGGAAGCCAGTGACAAAATTTTGGCGCCGCAGCTTGCTTGGGTGCCGAGTTGAAATATCCGGACAGACACACACACACACATGCGCACACACACACACACACAAACACACACACATTGCATTTGCATATAAGCAAAAACGTATAAAAATCCAAGAATTCATCAACGTGCGCCGAATCACAATTGATTGAACGGTGGTGGTGTCTTAACGGGCCCCGGTCTTCTCAGAACTGGTAACTGGTGCCTGTCGTTAGCACTGCTGCTACCAGTGGTACCGTTATTAACCATGAAGCCACTGGAATAACTTTGTACCGAACCAGTTGGAGTGATTGATATGGAACTCTCACTCTGACAATCCATTGTTTGCCGAAGATGTAAACCCTGCTCTGTGCAGGGCAACACGCACGGTGGTGGTTTTCCAAATGAAGTGCTCTGACAAGCTGAATTCGCCTGAGATACACTGAAAATTACTTTCTTAAGAATTTTTTGATTTTTAAGTCACATACTGAAGTAATTTTAGTACAGTAAAACGAGAGTTCAGCTCAATGATGAATTGATACAAAGCTATAAAAACGTATTTTTAGCAGCAGCTTAATCAAGAGGAATGTAACGAAAACACGGAATCCGTGACAAATCAGTGTTTTTTTTTTCTTTTTTTTAAAAACACATTATTTACTACTAAACGGAGGTATGCAGCCCAAGATCGAAAGGTCTGGCATTAACTGCGCTAGGAATATTCCAGCAGCATTACCAACATGTAATCCCTATACCAATTTCCCCAAAGGCTTTGGAATAGTAGGTACAACACTTATATTGTAAGAAATGATTCAGTTGCAAGCAACACTGTTCTCCTACATGCGGGACACATAAAGCTCCTTATTCAGAGAATCCGTGCTATCCATTCCCACAGGTACAAATAGAACATGTAGCTCAACTAGCAGTTCCAACTGAAATAAACAGTGGCGTGCACCAGGGCAGCCGGTGCGATTATGCGTTTTGTAAACTTCCGTCCACCGAACGATTGCCTGCTAACCATTTTCACTGCTCTAAATTGAAATTTGAAGGGTTACACGTGGGCAGGGAATAGTCCCCCAAAATTTTACCTTCTTAAATTTCGTGTTTCCCGCGATAATAATTTACCCACCAAAAGTTTCATGTTCCCAGCTGGTGCTGAAACCCGGAAGCGTGGGAACGTTGAATTTGTATCTGCGAGATCTTACATAGACAGGAGTCATCACCCTAAAATTTTAGCTTCCCAGATTCCGCGGTTCCCGAGATAATAGTTTATTTGCCAAAAGTTTCACGGGGCCGTATATGTCCCGCGAGTACGGGGAGGCTGAATTTGAATTTTCTGGATTGTATGTGGGTAGAGGACATACCCGTAAAATTTTAGCTTTCTAGCTTCCTGAGGTAATAATTTCCTCCGCCAAAAATTTTGCGAAGCTGTACGTGTTACCTGAATTTAAATTTGCGGGGTTACATGTGGGTGAGGAAAATTACCCTAAATTCTCGGTCTTCTAGCTTTTGTGGCGCCCGAGTTGAAAGTTGCGGGCACACACACAAACGCACAGATAACCCCGTGATAACAAGAGTTTTGCACTGCTGTTACACAATACAAAACGCATAAAAAGTGGCCCGAATAAAACCAGAGAACATTAATGCACCACTGAACACAAAAGAGAAATTTGACCTGCGTCCCACGTGAAACTCTTCTGCAGATGAGCTTCGCCTGACTGAGTGCAACCAAAGCCCTTCGAGTTTTTTTGTTCTTACTGATTCTCCCCAACTCATTCTCTGGAAAATATACAATATCCTTTAATGTGGAAATGCACTGATTTGCAATATTTGGAAATGCTCTGATAACATGCGTTTATATTAAAAGTTAGAAGACAAGATTTTGCGCTAAATATCAGTCTACAGCCAGGATGAGCAACTTCCAATCCCCAAACGCACGGACCTATAATTTCACGTCAAGTTTGTCCGCAAAGGTGGTGACTGAGAAGGTCGGCTCAAGCGGGTATTAGTGGGCTAAAACCCAGCCCCAGGGTAAGCGTGGTACCCGCGTACGAGCTCGCCAAAGTTTTTTCGGACAAGTTCATAACTCGGGGATCTGAGAAGCTAGAAGTCTGAAATCTTAGGGGAATGTTCTCCGTCCAAGTGGGTATTAGTGGGCCCAAACCCAGCGCGTGGCACCCGTGTACGAGATCTCCAAAGTTTTTTTCGGGTAATTTGATAACTCAGGTACGTGAGAAGCTAAAGGACT